TTTGGAATATTTAATAGCTGCATCATGCAAATACAAAAATGATTACTACATTACACATTCGTGCTGTCTCATTTCAGAGATGGTAACATGCCGGATATCACAGCTGCTGGTAGTTTCCACGAGTTTCTGGTAAAACTCCATACCAAATATGGTCACGTAGCAACATTTTGGTATGGAAAAACGCATTTTGTCAGTCTGGCGTCCGCAAAAGCGTTTAAAGATACGAATAAACTGTTTGACAGGCCAGGTAAATATGTGCTATGTAGTCAGTTATAGCACCATAGTCCATGAGATACGCCGTGTTTGAAAAAAGTCCCTCTAACAAAATTATGTAAATATGTAATATTATAGATTAATGGGTTAGAGTGACGTTCATGTGCTAGTTTTGCAATCATGAATATGTGCGTCATGTGACTGTGATTTCGAACGATAAGAATAGTGCATTTTAATTTTTAACTCATGCTAATATAATAATGTATATCTGCTTAATCCGGTCATGCCCGATACATTTACTATGTTTACTTGTTCAAAAGTTTATTGCACAGTTATATTATCTGCAACTGTAGAATCCCTACTGCGGATGTAATATTGTTCTGTTGTCATTCATATGAATAAAACACTTCCACAGCTGTACTGTTCGAATTTATGAAACCCTTATTTGGAGAAGAAAGTATACAGTATGCAAGTGGAGAAGATGGCAAACGGCGTCGCCATGACTACGACCAACTGTTCAGTTATGATGCGATTAAAAACTACTACAACAAGTTTCAGGAAGTAAGTGCGATTTTGTGTTATTCAAAGTGCGCTGTAATAATAACTTAACTTGCCCTAATAATCATGGAATACTAACTTGCAATATGCATCACGGAATACAGTCCTTTTGATATCTTGAATATTTTTCAACCTGAAATGTTTAATTACTTGTAATTATATTCTGACCACTCGTAATTATTCGCAGGTTTTAATGGTTAATCCCATATCCAAACATTAACTGCTCATCCATATCAAGATAAATAAGACTTTTTATTGAAATATTTATAATGTATACTGTGATACTTGGTATGCTCTATTGACAGGCTACTGATGCGGTTGCTGCGAAGATTGAATCTCTGGCGTCGGATGAACACGTTAATATAACTGAATACATGTCTCTGTTGGTTTTGAAAGCTCTAAGTCATGCTACGTATGGAGATTTCTTCAAAGATGACGAAAAAGCTATCACCATGTTACGTCACTATGAAACCGTAAGTACACCAGCGAAGTTTGAGGTAACGGTTTGAGGTGCTATAATGGTATATGTATATAATAGAATTCATATCATCAGTACATTCTCTTAGTGCAAATGTATTGAGTAGTTATTTGGTGATTGTATAAATAGTTGAAAATTGGTTTATTTCAGACAATGGCCATTTTGAATCAGGACATATCTAAAAACACTGAAGCTGGGCAGAGATTCGCTGAAGGTAATAAATTATTATCGGGAATTTAAGTGATAACTTCATAGCTTGTTATACATGCAATGATCAACACCTATGATATATATTTTATGTCTTTAAATTATTGTATTACATTATAATATTTGGTTAAGATATTACTCGTTTTTTTAACCGCATTATTCTATGTGGTTTGCAGTAGTACGATTAGTATGTATGCTTTTTTATTCTTCGAATACATTTTCCGTTTCTGTTGTTTCTGTTTAATTAATATAAAACAAATACCCATCTCAGTTGAATATAATGTGTGATGTGATCTGTGCCGGCCTAAAGGAAACAAATTCCCGGAGGGTTGGCTTTACATGTGTATAGTCACAGATGTTTCATTGGCCTTTTGTGTGAACACTACTTACTAGACTATATATGAACGACACGCCTTCATCTTGGATCTTAGATCGTATGTGGGCCCTTAAAGTAACGCATTTAAGCCCCTCAAATCAATATAATCGTACCATTCATCTCATGAACAGCTTTGTAGAACTTAACTTGCTTGTTAATATGTTGACACGGCCGTCTGACATATGAACACAGCCGATGCGAAAAACAGGCATTATCATCAATAACTGCATTCATCATATTTTACAGCTTTGGAGGCATGGCATGATTTTATGCGAGCCATGATTCAACATCGACGAGATAACCCACCGAGTGATGACGATTGGACGTTTATTGATGTTTTGATGGCAAAAGCATCGTCCGAAGAAGAGCTTCTATCAGATACTACAGGCTTCTTCATTGCAGGCTATCACACTACAGCTTTCAGTTAGTGCCTTTGTGATAATATTTCAATTCTATTTTCTTGTGACAGACATATTTTCAAGAGATGCACTCAAACATATTCAACATAATTCATAAATGGTTAAAACAAATTATTTATGAGTCATACATAGTACATTGATTCTTGGTCGTGATTTTGTTCTTTAGTTTTAGTGAAATAATTTTCTATTCGTCCGCAGTGATGGTGTGGACATTATACTACATGTGTGAAAATCAAGAAGTGCAGGAAAAAGTATACCAGGAAATAATCGAAGTTATTGGCAAAGACGAACAAGTAAACCATGTAAACCTGGAATTACTAAAGTAAATTAAACCAAGTTCGCATAATGTAAACGTCGATTGTGACGTTTATATACTCCATATAGTAATACAGTGTATTTGTAGCTTGGCTATAAACTTTAGTGATTTTATTCACTCAATAGTCGTATATGAACTGACATACTGCAGTAAATACGCATCACAGCAGGTGCACTGTCAGTTACGCCACATCGCAATGCCCTCCCCTCCAAAAAACAGCTTGAATGTGCAGTGAATGCATTCTTAAGTGTATAGTCTAGAATAATCAGAATCAGAACGACCTACCAGGTTCCCATTCTTCAGGGATACGATGATTGACGTTGTTCGGTTCATGTAGTTTTTTCTGCCATAAAATTAAGATAATGACACAGCTTCACGCTCTATAAATGTTAATGTATAACACTTTCTCATAATATTGCATAGATACATGAGATGTGTGTTTGACGAGTCCATCAGGTGCTCTGTGTTGGCACCGTTTGCAGCCAGGGTCAATATGAATGCAGACATGGTGGTACAGGGCTATACCATTCCAAAATGGGTAAGTATTTCAACACTGGCATTATACTCAATAATAGTGTGTTGCTCTATATAATATAACGATCTTCCTCATTACATTATTATAATTTTGGTTTATTTGATAGATAAAACAAAAAACAATAATCAAAACTCGCGGATTTAGTGATAGATTCTTATCGTCATACCACCAATCTAGTCACAGCGAATATTAATGCCATCGTAGACCCCTATTTACTTACAGAAAGTTT